CTCTACATTCTACGATGTCGGCTCGCACTCTTGCAGGTTGTGAATTGTGAATACATTCACTGGCTAGCTCTTAACTCTCCATGCCTTAACAAACTGAGGAACACCCCCCGTAGAGCACGTTTCCCCCAGCGTTTGACATCTCCAAGCTCTGATTGCACAGTAACGGAGTCGGGTGTCAAATCAGTGTCAGGTCTACTTGTATACAAGTCTTTGTGCCCACACACCCGCACACGCACACACACACACACACACACACACACACACACACACACACGCACCAGCCACTTGTCCACTTCGGCGACAGAGACGATGCCATTGCCGTTGTAGTCGAGGTGGTTCCACATGCCCTTGAGCTTGGCCTTGTCGCTCAGGGCAGAGCCAATCTCAACCTCAGCCTTCTTCAGACCCGGGTGCTCAGCCATCGTTGTTTCCGTGTGTGGTTGCAGTGGTGGCAGAAAAAAAAAACGAAACGACTGTTGGATCGCGTTGGTTGGTCGCGGTTGATGTTTTGATTTGAGTTGGGAAGAATATTGGATATCTTTGGTGATTTATTTCATCGTGTCGCAGCATGTCTTTGCGAGCGGTTGTTGCTGCATCTCGTCGCCTCCTGCACACCACGCCACGAACAGCCGTGCGTGTATGTGTGTGTGTGTGTATGTGTGTGTGTATGTGTGTGTGTGTGTGTGTATGTGTGTGTGTGTGTGTGTGTGTGTGTGTGTGTGTGTGTGGTTATAGCTGGCACTCACTCACTCACTCACACACACACACACACACACTCACTCACTCACTCACACACTCACCCACTCACCCACTCACTCACTCACTCACCATCAACTCTAACTCCATCAACTCCCTTGCTTTGTACAGATGGGGGTGGTTGAGGATGCTGTGCGCGAGAAGCTCACAGCAAGGTTCAAGCCGCAGCACTTGGAAATTATCAATGAGAGCTTCAAACACAACGTGCCAAAGGGCAGCGAGACCCACTTCAAGGTCATCATTGTCGCGCCAGAATTCGAAGGAATGCCTCTCATCAAGGTGTGTGTCTGGGTTCATGTGCGTGTATACACGTGTGTGTGTGTTTACATGTGCGTGTGCGCATACGTGTGTGCGTGTGTGCATACGTGCGTACATGTGTGTTGCGCGTGATAATTTGATTGTATTTGAGCTGCACCCATGCCGGTACTGACCATTGCACGCCCCTTTTTCTCTTACTCTCATGCATGCTGAGTAGAGGTCACGGGAAGTGTATGCGACGCTGGACAAGGAGATGGCCGGCCCAATCCACGCGCTCTCCATCACCGTAAGTGGTACTTTCTGTTGTTTCAGCTGGTGCTTGCAACGGCACGTGCGATATTGCCCGTGTCATGGTTTACTGATGGCGTTGCGGCATCTTTCTCTCGCCCCTCGTTTCGACGTTCACAGGCACGCACGCCTGCGCAGTGGGAGAAGAACGCCAACGTCAGCCCGGTACGCGTGCTGGTGCCCACATGCCCGTGCACACTCGTTGGTCTATTGTTCCCTGCGTGCACATCGTTGTTCCTTGTCTCATATTTACAGCGGCATCCAAGTTGAACGTGCAGCCTCGTTGCTCACGTGGTTCGCAACGCTATTTTCCGTTGACAGACTCCAAACTGCCTTGGTGGAAACAAGCTGTAGCAGCCAACATAGCAAGCAAGAAGTAAGCACGCACGCAAGCAAGCAAGCAACCGAGCGCGTGCACGTCTCTCCGCCGCCACCACACACACACACACACACTCTCTCTCTCTCTCTCGTACAAGAGGGTGTGTGCTTGAATTTGGTTTATGTAGCTTTTGGTAAACGGAGCAAGCAAGCAAGCAAGCAAGCAAAGCATGGACGATAAAGAAAATGGAAACAAGAACACACGACCAAAAGGACTGAAATACAGCGATGTGACGTGATGTGACATGTGAGACCACAACACCAAACACAACCAAGAAGCAACAGCGAAATAAGCATTCACACACGCACCACATCGAAAGGGGCGGGGGTGTCTTTTCATTAGGTGGGAAGAGCCAGCATCCAAATGAAAGAAACACAAACAAGTACGAATGAAGCAAAGCAACCCATCTACAAAAAGTCGTGCCACATCAAAGTGCCAGTCAGACAGACAGACAAGACAAGACAGATTGACAAGACTGCACACACTGCGCGAGCGTGTCGAAATAGCTAGTGGAGGAGTTTGGAGTGGGCAGACGGAAAGAGGTGCGCGCATGCACCTGGTCGTCGCACACACGTGCGTACGAAAGGAGGGGCTGAGTGCGCTCACACGTGCTTATAAAGTGTGTGCGATGTTTGCGTGTGTGCTGGAGGGAGAGGGGCAAGGTGACACTAACCGAGATAAAGAGGAAGAGAGAAACCGAAAAGAGGAAGTACAACACGGAAGCAGCAGGAGAAGCGCGTGCTTGTGCATGTGTGTGTGTGTGTGCGGGTCTACGGGGCACGAAGGGGCTTGACGAGCTGGAACTCAAAGCGGTCGCCG